TACGAGAGGGAAAAATCGTATTTTCCTTAAAAACACTTGTTTTATTCTGATTAAAACTCTAAAAACTCAACTAAAGTCAATTTATCAATGCTAATTAAATTAGGAATGAAAAGAACCTTCTAGAAGAATCTAGAAGACTATAATTAATTCTAATCGCATTAGGAATGATAAATCAATATTAGGCCCCCCTCTAGATTATTGGGCCTCATATCAAACCGGGCCTAGTTTTATAATTTGGCCATAACTTCCTCATTATTCGTCAAAATTGCGCTTATAATATATCGTTGGAAAGCTCTTTTCGAAGCTAACCCAACTACACCATTATTGGACCCTTGCCATGGACCAAAACAAACTAGATTAGTTTTTTTCTTAAAATAGGTTTTCAAAAATAGAGAGAAAGAAAAGTAATAAAAACTAATCGCAACACTAGACTTTCCACACTTTCACTTCATTCGATTATGATTCGACGTAAAAGGTACTCATCACTTGGTTTGGTTTTGGGGAGACACAAATGGGTGTCTACAGAAGCCCCACTTTGACTGAGTTAGAAGAAATGCAAGTTTCGAAAACAAAAGTCAAAGTATCGATAGGGATGGAGAATGACTCAGAACGTTCTGCAATCCTAAATCATTCTTGTAACATCGATACCTGCAAAACTAGTGTTGGTTAAAACAGATAAGAGAGTTTAGAAACGCTAATCTTGCACCGTCGAGCACACGTCTTTGAAGGAGTAACTGGAATGTTGTGTTGCATTTCCCGTTATGACAACCTTCCGCAAGCTAGGGAATGCCATCCTGCTGCTCATTTTGACGATCTTCTGCAATCTAGAGAATATCGCCTAAAGACTGCTACGCCTGTAACTGCCTCCAATTTTTCCATGATAGACTTTTACAAGCTAGAGAACCCCATAGAAGATTGCTTCGCCTGAAATGACCTTCTAGCGCTTTGTGACCATCTTCCGCAAGCCAGGGAACACGATCGAAGATTGCTTCGCTTGAAACTATCCTCATTTGTTGCGACAATACCCTGAAGAGTATCACCAAAGACCAACGCCTGTCGACTCTTTGCTTTTTCTATGCCAGTGCGTCGGCGCTTTGCTGCTTTTCAACCAGTATGTTGGTGCTTCTGAATTGTGAACCAGTATGTCAGTACCTTTGCATTTATGAACCATTATGTTGTTTTATAGAATACTACAAGAAGGGGGGGTTGAATTGTAGTATGAGAGATTAGCCAAACATTTTGCTGAATTAAAATTAAGTTAGCTAAAGGAACTAAAAGATTAACTAAAGGAACTAAAGAATGCAAGAGAGATTTTACGTGGAAAACTCCTTGGCCCTAACAAGGAGAAAAACCACGACCACTTGGGATTTTTGGAAAAGAATCTTCACTATAATAGGACAAATGATCCTATTACAAGCTAACGACTCAAACTCAAGTTCCTCTACAAACTTAAGACCCTGAGGAACAAGTCACTCAACTTGTTACTCTTCTCTTCTCTTTCTCTCTTCTCACTTCTCTATTCTCTCTTCTCTTTCTCTTCTCTTTCTCTTCTCTTTCTCACTTCTCTTTCTCAAATACAAACGTTCACTCGAACTTCCCCATTCCCCAAATTACAACTCGAAAAGTAAACAAACTCTAGTATAAGAACATTAAGAACACTCTAATGAACTTGTGTGGAATTTGACTCTTAACTCGATTTAAAGCTTGAAAACTTATGTGAGAAAGGGTGAGTTTTTCCATTTGAAATCAACAACTATTTATAGACCAAAATTCGTTTAGGAAAAACTTCTTTGTGCAGCAAATCCATTACGCCACTACTCCAACCCCCTAAGAAGATCATGTTCCTAAAATTAAGGAAACATGAACTCCTCAATGTGCAAGACCATGACTTGAAGAAAATCATGGAGGAGTAGGCCGCAAGTTTTTAGAAAACGTGGGAGATTTTATTTGCAGAAGATATTTTTAGAAAATTAGAAATAAAATCTTTTTGGTTAAGAAAAAGATAATAGTTACAAACTTAACCACTTTCCTAAAAACTAGCATGCACAATTTTATCTTTGTAGACCAATTCCACACAGATTTTTCGAGTGCAAATTAATATCTTATACTTACATAAATCCTAAAATATAAAAATATATTTAGTCTTCATGTTCTCTGATGAAGCTTCTACTCCGAGGCTTCTGTTCCTTGGGAGGAACTTCTCTTCTCTAATGAGGCTTCATCTCTGAAGCTTCTGTTCCCTGAGGGAACCTTCTCTTCTCCAGTCTTCATTTCAGAAGCGCCAGTTGCTGTGAGAGAACTCTTCTATATGGCTAGCTCTGCTTCTGGCCTTCTTGTTCCTCATGGTATTTTTACAAGACACTTCGTTCTCCTAGTCTTTGTAATTGAGTACAACTTAAACAATCAAGCACTTATTAGTTTGTAAGTAAGTGAGGTTGTGTCATCATCAAAATCATTAAGTCCAACACATTATGTCGATGCCTTTGCTGCTTATAACCATTATGTCGGTGTCTTTACAGTGAGCAAATGTTTAGGCGCTTTAAGCTAAGTGAGACGATCTGCATCAGGTCGATCACTTAATGCGCTTGTAACCAAGACAATTACTAAATCATGTCAAATTTCTTATAGGGGCTAACTGGCATACCAAGGAACTAAAATTTCTATAAGAGGTCGAAATAACTGTTCTAAGTGACTTAGAGTTCTGTCGGCGCTGAAACGTTGCTGGCGCCACGATTTATCTTTGTCGCCAAACTCTAGATTCTAACGCCAGGCACTGAACTCTAGCGTTAGATGCTAAAGCTGTCTTTTTGCACCAGAGTCGGGAATTTCGTATATATTCCCTTTTCTTCCTCATTTCGCCGTTGCTGCTTCTTTGTTTCAAAAATTCGCCGCCGAACTTCGTTTCACTCGCTCTTGCTCATTTCTCAACCAAATTTGCTCAAATTTGTTGCAAATCGAAGCTTTATTCATATACTTTCTTGATATATGTAAGTTTTCTTCAAACTCACCCCAGTTTTTGATGAATTTGACATTCTTGTTCATGAATTTTTGAAAAATTCAAACGTTAAATTGCTTAATTTGTTTTGTTTGTCAAATTTTATGCCAAAAAATTGCTTGATTATGTTTTTATATTGCCTTGGGAGTGTTTTGAGACTTGTTTGACTCAATTTGGTGAAGAAACGAACAAATCACCATTATTGGACCTCTTAAGGTCGGGAAGACAATGTGGCTTGTTCTTGATGTTTTTTGCTAGCAATTCTTGTCCAATTTGTCACAATAATTATCATAGTATTGCAAGAAATTGTTTGGATGCTCGAAAAATGTCGTATATGCCTGAATTGAAATTGTGCTCTGTTTTAGTACTACGTACTCTGTTTTTGCGAACATAGTATCATGCGGCTATGCGAACCTTAGATACTATAGAACCTTAATTTATGTTGATTTTGCACAATGTAGTATGGCTAGACAATGAGGTTCGGGTTCACGGTCCTGAGACACACGACGGGAGCATGAGCCCGTAGAGGAGGACGCCGACCCGTCCACTTCTCTTGGTCCCTTCCCTGAGTGGGATGAGCGGACTTTGTACTTCTCCCCCGACCACTACATTTCTGAGAGGGTGCGTCGTGGGATTACCGCTGGTAGGACACGTTGCCATGGCTCGGGCAACGATACTCTAGGCAACCGGTATAGGATGTTCATCAGCGTCGACGTAGAGTTGAGACTTCTCTCGGAGTCTTGTGGGCTGGCTGCCCTGTTCAAGGTCGCGGAGGCCATGATTTCTTTTGACGGGGGTCACCGCGTGGCTCGCGCTTTGGTGGAGTTTTTCTGGGACACCACCAAGACTTTTCACTTTCGTTGGGGTGAGATGATGGTCACCCCAACCGACTTCAGTCTCATCACGGGACTAGAGTTCAGTTCCACTACGCTGCCGTTCAACAGCAACATTAGCGTCTACTCTCTTGAGGTTGATGAGTTGATGTGTCCGATCACCGTTTGGGCCCGTGCTGAGGTAGAGACATCACGGTTCATCGCCAACGATATTAGACGGCCGACTCTGGTGGCAGCTTTCGAGGATGATGCGACCACTCGAGAGCAGCGGGTGCGCAGTTTTGCGCTTATCTTGCTTTCAGGGACGTTTTCCCCTGACAAGGGTAGTAGAGTGCTGCTTTAATACGTTCCTGAAGTCCGTGATCTTCACATGATCGGGACTTACGACTGGGCCATCTTGGCCTATGCTGATTTTGTTCGAGCGTTGCGAGACTCTTGTCGACATCTGTCCTACACGGGGAACGTCGCTCTGTCCAGCTTCTGTAGAGTCGTAGAGGTATACTTTATCACCTATAAAGTTAGATATAAGAATTTGTTAGCACTTGCTGATATTTTTTGTCTTTTATAGATCTAGTTCTACGAATACTTTCCTTCTCTCACGCCGGCAAGACCGTCGCCACGGGGGTTTCCCGTGAGCTCCTGCTGGGGAGGCCACCACGTTTGGGCGTCTACCGCCCATGTTCAAGAGCAGATCCTCTCGGTATGATATTTTGCATAGTTGAACACCTTTGTATTGCTTTTGGTAGATTCTTATCTCATAGGCATTCTTCGCAGGAGCCTGATGTGTAGTACCGGCCATGGGACGATTTGGTTGTCCCTGGGTTAGCCGTGCAGTACACTGCTGAGCGTCACTACTTCTTAGGGACGTGTGGGATGGTGGCATACCTAGGAGAGAGGGTTGCTATTTAGCACTCCTCGAATGTTATCGTCGTCCCTGTTTCTCTGCCGCGTCATACGTTCAATGACGCAAGGCTGCTCAGCATGTCGGAGAGGGCTGGTACCCCTTGGCGATCTCATGTGATCCCAGGGCAGTGCTATGAGGAGGAGCTGCTGCCGTTGTTAGCTCCGGCCCTTGTTCTGTCTAAGGAGGCGGCGGTATGATTTTCATCTTTTACCTTTTGCTAAGTAGCCTCCAAGTGATATTTTACTGACTTTGGTTTGCTTTTTGTCAGGCTGGGCCTAATGAGTTCGTACCCCCTCGTATGTCCATCCATTTCCAGGAGACATACGACCCTATTGAGGAGATGATTCCTCCGGCTTCTGAGGATCAGCGCTGTGTGGAGCGATCAATTCCTCACCACCACACTCGGGTGAGTTTGTTTACTTGCAATTTGTTCATATCTTTCATGCATTGTTACTGACTTTCTTTCTTTAACAGTTCTCGCGCGAGGTGGTCACGGCGATGGCGAGGTGTATAGACGATTTCCGGAGCCAGCTCGTTGGGATGAGGAACGTAGCTACGTGTCGTCGTGACGACGCTGTTCAGGAGGTAGTTTTTCTCCCTATTTTTGTATTGTTATGCTTCTATTTTGATTGTTTTTTACTTGATTTCTTTTGCAGGGTCAGCCCATCCCTTCTCGTACCCGGACGAGACCTGAGGTCCGGAGAGAGCCGGCGAGGTCTAGCTTAAGGCGTCACCGTACTGGTTCTGGCGGTCGGGGTTGTCGATCTGAGGCTGCCCAGACCGAGGCGTTAGACGGTTCGGGCTCTTCATCTGAGAGTGCACGTGCTGAGCTGGTAGGCCAGGGAGAAGCTACCTTGGCTCCTAGAGGTGGTGGGATGTACGAGGTCGGCTCGTTATCGTAGCAGCCTCAGCCTCTATCGGTTCATCAGGGCGACCTTGGGTGGACGGGTCCTGAGCTGAGTTTTCCTCCTCCTGAAGAAATTGGAGCTGGAGCTGGTGGAGAGCATACTTCTCGTTCTGCGCAGTTCTTTGATATGATGGGCGTCCCTCATCATCTGCCTCCTCCAGCGCCGTAGTTTGTACCTGTGTTTTTTTTTACTGTATAAAACTTTGCCTAATTGACTCATTTATTAGACATATTTGTATATACATATTATCACCTATTTATTATGACTTTATTTATGTTGGATTTATTTTTTCATTTTTATGTGCATATTTGTGTGTGCAAAAATTGTGATAAAAATAATTTTGTGCAAAAATTTCCATCCTTTTTATTATTGATGGAGGGTATCCGACTTTCTCCCCCAAAAAAGAAAAAATGATAAATAAATTGGACTTGCAACAATCTTAAAAATAAATTAAGTCTGAATAAAATCCAAAAAAGAAAAATGGGAATTAATATATGAAATTAATTTGTAAGGGTATTTGTAGATAAAGGGATGAAATCGTAAAGCCATTGTACGAGTTCGAATCATAGCCAGAAAAACGTGGTTTTGAATAGCTCACTAATAAGACACATCAGCGCCACGTGGCGCCACACGTTTTGCATTGGTGTCAGGCGTTGCTGCTGGCGTTGGGCACCAGACTCTGGCGCCAGACGATAGAGTCGTCGTTTTGCGCTGAAAAGCGCTTACTCTGAATCCTTTCCGGATTGAAACTGTATCGATGTTATGTATAAATAGCCCCCTAATCCGTCGAATTTCTTAATAACTTAAGCAGATTAGTCATAGTCTTAGCTTTTTGAAAAAATAATTATGTCTTTAGTTACTAAGAGTTTTACCAACTTCACACGTGAATGGTTTCGGTCTTTAACTGCTAAAGAAATAAAAGAACTAGACTTTTTCCATATGGGAGGTATCTATGGTGTTAAGGGGGTAGATCTTGATATAGAATTCATTCATACCGCCTTAGAATATTGGGACGCAGATACTCATTGTTTTAGACTAGGGTGTGAAGAAATTAGCCCTTTACCGGAAGAATTTGATGCTATCTTAGGCTTCCCTTCATTAGATCTTGCGGTAATCCCTAGAATAAATGAATATTATTATAAAAATTTTGAGCGCTTCTTTAATTTAAGAGACAAAGATCTAACAAATATTGTAGATGGTAGCATAGTTAATTTGAAAAAATTTGCATGCCATTACTTTGATAGACCTTATTCTGAATCTTTTCATGTTTATAGAAGAAGGGCTTTTCTCTTTTGTATGCTTAACCAATATATTCTCACTAGTGGTAGAACTAATGAGGGCCAAGCAATTATATTAACTATTTTGGAGCAAATCGAATCTGGGAGAAATCCAATACCATTAATTGTTGGAGAGACTATGCTTAGTCTTGATGAATTGAAGAGAGATCCAAAAGCACCTTTTTGGGGATCTCCAATTTTATTACAGGTAGAAAAATAATATTTTTATTTATAGAAATCAAAAACATATTTTTGTATAGTAATATTAATTTATTTGCATTGAATTTTTGCAGATATGGCTATTGGAGAGACTAGAATTAATTAGTCCTCCCGACAATGTTGAAAAATATACTCCAAATTGCTTTGTGAGGAGAAAGAAACTCTTCTTTAAGATGGGGCGCCATGAATAGACAAAAGTCTTTGCCTCTTGCAACTTTGCTATCAAGTAGGTCATCCCTTGGTGGAAAATAGAGACGATGGTTGGTGTCAACAAGCAACATTTCTGTCGTCTTCCAAGCATAAACAAGGTGACTTTTTACTATCCCTGCAAGGTAAAAAGACAGTACGACCTACTTCAAACAATTCCTTCTTGGGATCTTCGTCGTCCCTATGAATTCCATATTTCACAAGAAGTAGAAAAATTTGATGCATATTGGAGCTCTAGACCTTTATGGGAAGTGATTACCCAAAAAATTACTCCTTTGTTGCCCAATGATGTAAAGAGGTGGCTTCTCAAGAAACCTTCAAAGGATATAAAGAAAGATCAGAGTAAAACCAATGTGAAGAATCGTCTAGGTTACAAGGTGATTCCCGTTAAGGAACGCTTGGGTGAAAAGATTTATTTCAAAACACCTATGATGCCTAAGAAGAGGAATTCTTCAAAGGATAAAGGGAAAAGAAAAGCTGACACTTCAGAGAAGAAGGTTTGGGTAGAGAAGAGACATGGAGCCCTAGTTAAGGGAGAAACAATTTACTCCAAAATTGAATGTAGGTCCTCTAAAGGATGCCTACTAGCTAAAGGCATGGACGATGAAGAGGATGTAGATAAAAATTGGAAGAGAGCAAAGAAAGAGAAGAAAGATTGAAGCATTGCTTAAATTTTCAATTTATTAGACTTAATTTTAAATTTAAAGTTTATTTCTTTTATTAAGCTTTATTTAAATTCCATCAATAATGTAATTTTTAGTTTATTTTATTAATGAAATTTCAGCTTTTTAATTAAATCATCTTCTTTAAATTTAATTTATTAAAGCAATGAAAATAGAAAATTTTATTTTCCAGAAATTTTTCCGAGTACGAAAGTAAAATTTTTTCCGAAAAACACCGAAATTTGCCCAGGTACTCCCAGAAGAGCAGCGCCGCTACTTTATAGCTGGCTCCGGCTGTTGGCGTCTGGCGTTTGGCAACAGGCGCTGCAGCACATCGGACAGCGACAAGCTTTTTTCTCTAACACCGATGTTCCGTCGAATTTCTCTTTATATTTGGGATGCGAGGTTTGCAAAAATTAAAGTGGCCGCACCCGTAAAGGGTTGCCTACGTATCCTTTCTTAAGGAATCAGGCCAAACGTAGCTCTCTTGAGTACCCTACTCAAGTAATTATGAGTAGTACTTTTTAATTTGGTCAAGATCTATCATGTTCGAGAACTTTGCCGCACCTCCTGATAGGGTTGTTTTGACAATATAGGGTCCGGACCAATTAGGCCTAAATTTGCCTCTTGGATCCAAAACATTTTTCCTTAATGCTTTTAACACCAAGTCTCCTACTTTTGTTTTTGAAAATATTTCATTTCTTACCCTGGTTTTAAAAAACGTGCATTCCAGTTAAGTTTGGTCCATAATATGGGTCCAATAATGGTTTATTTGGATGGGGTTTGAAAAGACCTTTCCAATGATATATTATAAGCCCAATTCCGATGATTAATGAGGAAGTTATGGCCAAAATACTAAACTGTGCTCGAACCGGATCTTACCTACGGCACAATGATCATGTGGAGGGTCCAAAGGTCTAATTCTATTCCTAAAATAATTAGGATTAATTATAAGCTTTAATAAGTTTCTAAAATATTTTAATTATCCTTTTTAAAAAGATAAGATTAAAGAATTTGAGTTAAATAAAAACTTTCCTTTTATAAAAACTTTCCTTTTTATTAATCCTAATTCTATTCGAATTTAAAGATGTTCAAAGACAGTCTGATTTTATTTTTGTGCCTCATAATCTTTATCCAAATCTTATATGGTTGAATATATCTTAAAATTATCTTTCTAATGATATAATATAATATTAACTTTGAGCTACAACGAAAAAGATATGAATGAGATATGAAACTCAATCCAAAACTGACACCCATCCTACTATTTCAGCAATATATTTTTATCTACAAAATATTTTAATCTGATTCTAATTGGGTTGGAAAGTAGATTTCATGATCTTTTCAACGACATATTATATGCCTTATTTGGACTTGTGGATCAAAAGATAAGATAAAAACAAAATCCGCAAAAAGTGTTGTCCATCGAGTTCTATTTCGATTCGAATTCGGATTTTTTTCTTATTCTTCGACCCTCTTTTTTTCTATAAATAGAGGTCACATCTCCCCTTTTTCAATCACAAATTCTCATCAAATATCATCAATTCTCTAATTCTCTCTCTCAACAATTCACATCAAGAATTTCTTGATTCTCTCCCTCTTTCTAAACAAACCCTTTTACGAACACAATTCCTCACACATTAGCACTAGACACACCAATCATAGTTCAAAGTTGCATTCTCCCTAGACGTGAAAGGTTTGATATTTCTAAGGGTTTGGTCTCAAATCTCTCTTTCAATTATTTAATTTAATTGTTTGATTATTATTTTCCATGAAGTTACCAACACATGTATTTTGTTATTAGAAATAGATACGAGACATCCAAGTAAGTGCTTTAATTGATTTATTGATATTATGATATATAAATCATGTCTAGGTTGTTATTATGATTCCTAGTGTCATGTTAGGGTGTTTTGATCTTCCTAGTATCATGTTTAGGGTAATAACTATAATTTCTAATATCAAATATGACAATTGTTATTTCTGTGACGCTTTCTATGTTCATTCCTAATATTCATGTTAGTATCATGTTAGCGCTAAATGTTTGATTTTTATTGTTTAGTGACATGGTAGGGTTTGTTATTAATCTTGTTAGTATCATGCCTAGGATCTTGCTATTATTATGCTTTAACATGATTATGATAATTATTAGTAATATAATTATTATTTATTATTATAATTATTATGTTGCTTGATATTTTACTGTTATTGCTTGATCACACCTTTTACGCATGTTTAAAGGGAATTGGTACTTGTAATCACGCTTAATAAGATAATTGATAATCTTGTTTAGGGTTAATTTTATTATAATT